GCCATCGCTAGTAGGTTGGAGGCCATTGCTAGTACGTTGGAGGCCATTGCTATTAGATTGGAGGCAACACTATGAGGTTGGAGGCCATCGCTAGTAGGTTTGCTGCAGAAGTGCAGATCGCGGCCACTGATTTTGTTCCCCACATCTCTGTGTGGGGTTCTAGTTTTGTTGGCTGCCATCCCGCCCGCATCCGCCCTTCCTTCCTTCCTTCCTTCCTTCCTTCCTTCCTTCCTTCCCTCCCTCCCTCCCTCCCTCCCTCCGTCCTCCTCGCCCCCTCCTCCACTCACTCGCTCGCTCACACTCACTCACTCACTCACTCACACTCACTCACTCCCTCGCTCGCTCGCTCGCTCACTCACTCACTCTCACTCACTCACTCACTCACTCCACTCACTCCACTCACTCACTCCACTCACTCACTCACTCCACTCACTCACTCACTCCACTCACTCACTCCACTCACTCACTCCGGCTCTCTCCGGAGACTGCAGAAGGGGCTGCGGCGCGCGTGGTCGCCGCTGGGGGCCCGGCTCTCTCCGCAGTGGCCGGCGCAGTGTCCAGAGACTGCAGAAGGGGCTGCGGCGCGCGTGGTCGCCGCTGGGGGCCCGGCTCTCTCCGCGGTGTCCAGAGACTGCAGAAGGGACTGGAGAAGGGGCTGCGGCGCGCGTGGTCGCCGCTGGGGGGGGCCCGGGCTCTCTCCGCAGTGTCCGGCGCAGTGTCCAGAGGACTGCAGAAGGGGCTGCGGCGCGCGTGGTCGCCGCTGGGGGCCCCTGCGGTTCTGTGCGTTACTGCCATTGTGATTTGCAAAGCAATGGTTGTGACAGGCTGCGAATCGCATTGTAATGGCTGCGGCAAGGATGTGCGCACCCTGTGTCTGTGCACTACTGCCATTGTGATTTCCACAGTATTGGTTCTCGCCGGTTCGGAATCACCTTGTAAATGCTGCGACAAGAATCACCTCACCTCACCTCACTCACCTCACTCACCACTCACTCTACTCACTCTCACTCACTCACTCACTCACTCTCACTCACTCTCTCACTCACTCACTCACTCACTCACTCACCTCACTCACCTCACTCACCTCACTCACCTCACTCCACTCACTCACCTCACTCACCTCACTCCACTCACTCCACTCACTCCACCCTCACTCACTCACTCACTCCACTCACTCCACTCACTCCACTCACTCCACTCACTCACTCACTCACTCACTCACTCACTCACTCACTCACTCAC